TTTTCATAGTTACGTCCAGCGAGAACGCATCCCCATCATGTTCTGCTTCATCAGCAACCTCCTGGAAATCATACCGTGCTCAATTAGAGGCCCACACGTGGATTTAGGAATCTGGGCGATCAGGTTTGTAAAGGTTTAAGGCAGGATTTTTCCAAAGCAGTTGAAGCTCAGGCTTGTGCGGATCCGTTCCGCAGCAGCACAGACCGCAAGGTGCTGCAGGAAGGTCTTTCATCAGTGCTCACCATTTGGGAGGTTGAATAATTCCTTTAGCCCCATTTTATAGATGGGAAAGCCGAGGTACAAATGAGGCAGCATGTTTCCCAAGGCTACATAGCGTGCTGCTGCTTAAGCCAGAAACAGACCCTACTGCTCTGACTCCCAGCTTCTTGCTCTAATTACCAGAAAATTCCTCTCTTCTATGGCACAGCCAACTGGTTCCAGTAATAAATCCAAGCTGTTGCAAAGATCAAGTCCGGTTTTTTCACTGCTTAACCCAAAAAAACATTTGATTTTCAAAACACAGGTTTGGCTTTTCACCAGAGACGGGATTTGTTTTCCATTCTTCATCTTTTTTGTTGTGGGCTTCTTTTTTTTTCCCCTCTTTTTGAAGGCCAAACGTTTAATTACTCTGTTCCGTATGGAGTTCCTAAGCTAGAAGCACTACAACCATCGTTACCCTATAAATCATTCCTCTTACTATAAATACACTTAAGTATTTTTCATTTTGTTGTTTCTATGGCTGAACACGGCACCTCCAGCAAGCCTCAGAATGCTTCCCACATTAAGAACTTTGACTCGAATTCTGGAGGACTTCTTTCTGAAAAACAATGCTTTAAAGAGAAAAAAAAAATGGTAACATTCCTTGGTTCATACCCAAAGCAATAACCAAAACCTACGACTTTTCAGCAGTTTAATTATGCCTGTCTGCATTGGCAAAGATAACAGTGCCTTATTTTGACACGGTCGTACTGTTGGAATGGTACCTTGTGTTACCTCTTACAATACAGGAATCAGCCAAATTGGGATAAAATGCATTTCTTTTTGCCCACCAGAGGTACATCATTACCTTTTTGGGAAAAAGCTCTACGAAGCTTCTCCACAGTTGTGAAGAATTGGTGAAGTTTTAATGCTAAGGGTGACCCCTCCAAGCACGTGCAGTAATCACTGCTGTGGTTGTGGCTGAAAAGCAGATGTACGTATCTCTGTAAGCCTACAGTCATTTGTAAATATTTTATTGACAAAAAACATCCCAGATCTGTTCATCACTTTAAGCTGTGTTATATTTACTGCATACAAACACTGTGCTTGACCAAAGCTTAAGACATGCTATCTTCTGCAACAATGGAGAACACATTTCGCTGCATATTTTCTCCTGAATTACTAAAAGGACTTTCAGAATCTTAGAAGCCATTCCAAGCTCAAGCTTTTGCTTTACGTATCTTTATTTTTTAATTGTCTTTATTACCTTAACTATCCCTTGTCCAAGTTCATTCATGCTCTCAGCCCATTGGCTGCATAAAGGTGAGGACAGACTTGGTGCCTGTGAGACCAATAAAGGAAGCTCTAACACATAACTTGCAGCACCAAAGGCTGAAAAACGATTTGAGTCAGTTTCAAACTCAAGCTAAAAGTAGCAGATCCAAATTAAAATCTCTCGGGCCAGATTTTCAGGCTCAAACCCTTTAATTTTAAGAGCTGAGGCCACTCGGTGGAGGCACTGAGGGGACCTTAAACGCAGCCAAAGCTCCTGAGAGGTGAAAGAGCTCTGAGACTGATGGCACTGGGCCCTGAACTCCTGGAGTGCCCAGCTAGGAAGCAGAATGCCAGCACTGCCCAGGCATCTGGGGCTCGGGGTGATAACCTCCAGTGATTACAGCGAATGTCAACCAGAATTTACTCAGCAATTTGCAGGATGAAGCTCTCAGAGCAGGAAATCACAGTGTGTCTGTCCCAGAGGTGACAGGATGTTTCAGCCACTGATACCCATGCAGAGGGCAGACGAATCCCCGTGTCCTTCTGTTATAAGCTGCTCCCTCTTTGACAACCCACAAGTTTTAAGGGGAATAAACTGTTTTTCAAGTAATCTTCTCCTTATGGTGTTTTTGCTCCATCACAAGGATATAGGACTACATAACATCCTTACCTTCTCCTAGTCCAATCATATGATCCTGGCTTCCTCCTGCATTTTTATTGCTCAATATCCATCTCTATGGATTAACCCAGGACAATAAAAAAGAAAGCAAGTTCTCTATTACTCAGCTGGAAGGAAAAAAAAAAAAAAAAAAAAAAGGAAAGGAGTTATTAAAGATACTGGACTCACTTCATCGAGTGACAGAGAACAAACTGTTCACTTTGAGGAGCTGTAAGTTAAGAACAGAACGAGCAACAGCTTCTTGGGCTCAGTGAAGCAGAGCTCAGTGCTGTGCAGTGCATGAAATGCCATGCTGGAAAAAACAACCAAAACCAACAACCCTGAAAGAGCCTCAGCAGGGACTCCAAAGAGGATGGGTACATAAGAGATCAGGTTGCCAGTGACATCTAGGCACAAAAAGTGCCACTTGACAACTTTATCCTACAGTTTAACAGTGGTGGGTCTTGCTAGCTGTCCTCATTTTATGCCATATTTTGCAACATTGTAGGAAAGAGTTTGGAAACACGACCTGAGGATGCCCAAGGGGATCAAAAATCAGAAAACAAATCAAGTTGTAAACATGTTTTTAATCTCACAACTCTTACACGCTCATGATTTCTGATGAGGTAATATTTGGACTACTCAGTACTGCAGGATGATGGCAGAAATACAGACTGTGCCCAGTATGGAGATACAGGATCTTCCCAGCATCCTGCAAGAGTGTACTGATAGCATTCATCTGCAGGGAAAAACAGCACGATTAACATTTTTTTCCACTCCTCCTTGGTTTCACACGTTATTCTGGCATAGGGATGCTCCGGGGCAACGTTTAGGTGAACGTTCACACGTTGCTCCATAAGGAGTTTCAGAGGACAAGCTCTTAAGGATGCCCAGTTTCACGAATATAAAAGCTCCAGCCAACAACCCGCAGCCTTCTGCTGCCCTCTGACGGGCTGCAAGCAGCAGAGCAACATCTGCCGAGACGCAGAAGCCACAAACGCAACAGCACCGAGGGTTGGGATCGTCTCTGTCATCACCTGCTCGATTTACGGCACGCTGCAGTGACCGCAGAACCACGGGCGGTGCTTTAGCAGCTATGCTCACGTTTCCATAAGGGGGTACAGGGCTCACAGAAAGGGTCCTGCAAATAGAACTGCTGTGTTTGGCAAGACTGAAATGCTGAGCTGATGGCAGCACGAGGTCCTCCAGGTGCACTTCTCAAACAAGGGGTCTCGTTTGCTCCAAGAACTGCCATCCTTGACACTGAAGACGCCGTGGAACAAACTGGAGAAGAGGGAAGGTTACACTACGCTCAATCCCGTGAGTTAGAACCCCAAAGGCAACACAATGGAAGGAATGTTCCCTCTTTACTACACCAAATTATGAGATACACAGGGAGTTTCTGTATTTCTGCACAGCTGTAGTACAGAAAAACATCTCAGGAGTGCCCGATTTGGGGTTTTTTGCCCCATTTTGACCAACGAGAAGATGGGAGACCCAAGTAATGTTGGGAGATCCAACGAGTGGGGTTTGGTGGGAAAATACACCTCAAAAGTGCCCAGTTTGGGGTTTTTCACCCCATTCTGGCTAACGAGGAGCAGGGAAGCCCCCAGCTCGTGGTGTTTGGGGGGAAAACACACCCCCAGAGCACCCAATTGTGGGGTTTTTCACCCCATTTTGGCCACTCAAGAGCCAGCACCTCCAGTAGAACGTTGGCCAACCCAACCTCAACCCAACCAACGCTCTTCTCCAGCAAACCAAAGCCGGGCCAACGCCGCCCACCTGTGTACCATCATATGAAGTAATTCTTTCTTCCTTTAAAAGCCTCACAATTTTTAAGGCAATCCCATATAGTGGGATCAGATGCCTCAAATTTCCCCCTGAAGCTCCAAAATCGCACTCATAGCATCCCCAACCCACCTCATGGTGGGTTCATCTCCTGAAGCCTCAAACCCACCTCACAGAACCCAAAAACATCTCCTGCAATCCGGTACATCCGCACAGAGCCCCCAAAAACACCTCCTGCAACCCCAAACCCTCCTCACAGAGCCCCAAAAACACCTCCTGCAACCCCAAACCCTCCTCACAGAGCCCCAAAAACACCTCCTGAAACCCCATACATCCTCACACAGCCCCAAAAACACCTCCTGCAAACCAATACATCTTCACAGAGCCCCCAAAACACCTCCTGCAACCCCAAACCCTCCTCACAGCCCAAAAACACCTCCTGAAACCCCATACATCCTCACACAGCCCCAAAAACACCTCCTGCAACCCCAAACCCTCCTCACACAGCCCAAAAACACCTCCTGCAACCCAATAGATCCTCAAACAGCCCCCAAAAACACCTCCTGGAGCCTCAAACCCTCCTCACAGCCCCCCAAACACCTCCTGCAACCCAATACATCCTCACAGAGCCCCAAAAAACACCTCCTGCAACCCCAAACCCTCCTCACAGAGCCCCAAAACACCTCCTGCAACCCAATACATCCACACAGAACCCCAAAAACACCTCCTGCAACCCCAAACCCTCCTCACAGAGCCCCAAAAACACCTCCTGAAACCCCAAACATCC